GGCTTATGCGGGCTTTGACACCTGCGAAACTGTAACCTGCGACACCAACATTCCAACCTGTGAAGCGCAGCCGCCGCGTCCCAATTGCAGCCTGAAACAACCGAAAATGGTATTCAAACAATGAAAGAATCAAAAGGTTCCACAGCAGCAGTCGAGAAGCAGCTCAAATGCTGAGTTGATGACTTGTGTCAATGACAAAGGTCGGTGACAATGATCTGGCAGCATCAAGGCATGAATTCTCAAACTTAGCAGCATTGAAAACAAATGCACCGTGACAGTGACTCCAATGCCAGTTGACAATGACTCTGAATGGTTGCAATGAAGTGCACTCCAATGACAGTCTTTGCCGTTTCACACGTGATGAAAAACTTTGCCCACACCCACAATGAAGCCCTTCAAGTTCAAAACCCAGCCTTGGCTCTGACACATGGGAAATGGGACAGGATCATCATCATCTTCCAACCAGGTCTCCTCCAAGGCAGCATGGCAGAATACAAAAGGTCCCCTCCTGATTCCTGATCACTGTTTACTTCTGTCTGCAACTGTCTACTTAGCCCTTCAACAGTCTACTACTGTCTGTGGTCACGTTTTCCTGGGGAGTCTTTTTGAAGTAGCGCCTGACACTGACTTTATCTGATTCTGAATGCGGCAAGGTTGTTGGTCAAGGTTGAGTTCGAAACTTCTGGACTGTTCAATGCCCAGTCAGTCGCCGGCCAGCCTGAAAGCCAAAAGCTCGCACGCAGCAGTCTTGTGGACGCAATATCCTTCCCCAGCGAATTCGCTACCAGCTGTGAAAGGTTCAAACTAAACTCAAAGCTAATGACGACATTGATTCTGATTTCCTTCATTCCATCGATTCTGATTTCTTTCAATCTTTACCGTCCCACGAATCTTCGTGCCAGAAATTCACTCCCCAATGTTTTCAAGTGACAAGATTTTGCAGTAAAGCATGTTGGAACGTTGAAAATGAAATTCGGCATGTTCTTGGATGAAGCCTTCCAAGACATGAACGTTTGCTCGCCTTCAAAGTCAGCACGAACTTCGTTACCTGATTCCAAATGATGCTGAACCCAATTTCTGCATGATTCGCTGCAAGGTGGAAACGTGAACCTCATTTTGCAATTCAACTTGTCGCAACTAAAAATGGAACAGTTTGCCACTGAGTTTGAATTTGAATTGCGCTGTCGCATAAATCACATGAGCTTGAATGTGAGTTTGGCTGTCACATGAACATGAGTTTGAAGTTGACATGCCCGCTGCCATCAACCAAGCTGCATGCGCATTTTTCCATCCACTGCAATTTATGAATAAATCCAGGCCCACAAGACCATCACAAAATCTAGCCATGCTAGGATTCTTGATCAAGCCGGCATCCTTTCATCTCAGGAACATCAAGCGGCAGCAAGTCATTGAGTAGGGCTTTAGTCATCCAAGACCGTATCGAACTCCTGAGTGGCCTGTACCTCCTGGTTCGTCTCGTCCAAACGTCGTGCGTCTTCTCGGATCTGGGCCATCATTGTGTCACAGCTTCGAACCACTGTGAAAGGCCTAGCAGGGGGAAGCCCAGCTTCATCTGCGGACCTCTTCAAAGGTTTCAAGGTACCGCTAATCTTCACATCTCGGCCAGGACCCTGGATGGACAAATTGTATGTCCAAGCCATCGGATGATACGCCTGGTGGCCGGCAACAACTTTCTGACACTCAATCAAAAGATGACGCCGGTAATTTACAAAATTTACAATCACAAAAATATCGCCGACCATTTAGTCTGTGTCATGTGGCACTTGTCAATCGACTTGATAAAGGCAAAGGCTGGGACGAAGACAAGGTTCCTGGTCCTGGTTCGAGCCTAAGCCTTTCTCAAGTCTACTGAAAACTCCCACATTGGAGGCCACCCCCAACCTCCTTCTCAGTCACAGGAGTGCCATCTTCCGAAACGACCACGGTGTACGTCCCAGGCTTCCACTGAATACATCCAAGCACGTCCTTGGCCTCAAGCTTCTTCCATGATCTAGCACCTTGATCAAGCAGGTCTGGCTGACGGGCCAGAGGGTCGGCCGCAGTTAAAGCACCATCCTTGTCAGCGCTGGCCATTTGGCTTACGATTTCTCTGGAGGCCTGGCTTATGCTTGTTGTGTGCAGTCTGGCTTTGTGCAGACTTTGGGCTGGGTCTGAAATCGTTCTGAGTCTGAATGTTCAGTCAACATGTTGCCAAATTTTGCCAAATCAACCGCTGCACTGGTTTGTCAACTGCGACTGGTTCAAAGCATGCCGGAGCCACCTGCGCAACCTCGAAGTGCGCGTGCTCGACTACGATTTGACCTGCCAACGTCAACGATTTGTTGGTTGAAAGCCTTGCCAAAAGCAATGGACACACTGTCACATGACATTTGCGCATTGTTTCAGATTCAAACCACGTGGGACATGTGTGTATCATTTAATTTGTCAAACTCGGATTCCCAATGGATCAAGAACCCATTTTTGACACTTGTCTGCCTTGCCTTCTGTCTGCACCAGCACCTGTCATGCTTGCAAAACACGATAAGCTTGGCGGATGAAAGCTTTGAGTTCGACATTGATTGGGTCTAGAAGGATACTCAATTTCATTCAAGTTGGCTCGGCAGATGGTTGTCTGACACCTATTTCGGACCTTCTTGGCCGTATCTACTTCTTGGCCGTCTTGGCCTTCATTGTCTTCTTCGCCTTCATTGCGTTCGTCTCCTTCATGGCCTTCATCGCCTTCATGGCCTTCATGGCCTTCTTCTTCTCCGGTTCCACCGGCATCTTTTTTATTTCAACCTTCGGCTGGATCTTCAGGCCCTGGATCTGCTGGCCCTTGTTCTCAAAGTCCCTCGTCCAGATTTCCGTCACTTCGTCCCCCTCCCATCTCAAATGTTGGAGCCTGAGCGGTTTGGCATGGCCATCGGGCCTGGAAACACGTGCTGCTCAAAATTTGAACTGAGGCACTTGTAGCCGCCTGCAACATGTGTCTTCCACTTGTGCTCATACCGCTCAGAAGTGGTGGAATGGCGCACCATTGCTCAGAAGTGGTGATGGACGGTGAAGGTCTTATGGCTGATTGAAAGAGCTAAGACCGCTGCAGATATAGTAAGCCAATCACAAATCCAGGTGCATTCGCTCATATCATAAACTTCAGAACTTCCAAACGCGCCGGGCGCACTTCGAAGATATTGAAGTGCGAAAAGACAAGCGTCCATTCCTTGGAAATGAGCTCCATCAAGAATCCTACGCTGAATCCGGAATTTGAATATGAATGTGACAAGGAGTGACTGTGAATCTGAACAGGAAGAGAAACCGAATCTGAGTGTCAGTCTGACTAGAATAAAGGATTGAGTCATGAGTTGATGTGAAGATGCAACTGTCACTCTGAGGGTAGAACCCAACCTGGCTGGCAACGGCAATAAGAAAAGCTACGGTAAGTGATAGGTCATTGAAGTGCTCTGCAACATCCAAACATGCCAGACGTACGGCCCAAGCATTGAGCTTGAAGTTGATGGCACGAATTTGGACCACCCTCCCATCCTCCCACCTTCCCACCAGCAGATCCAGGATCTTCCAAGGCTCCACCCCGCAGGTTCAGCAGGTTCAACCCCCCAACACCTTCTTGCTCGTGCTTAGCTGGGAATGAGGGAATGAAGTGGGAACCTGGGCATTTATAGATTCCCTGAGATCTTGTGAAGGGACTTACCACTTGACCAAGTCCAACTCTTGCTGCATGTTGGAAAAGGTCGGAGTGAACGCAATTGCAATCACGCTTGATTTGGGAATACAAAACTTGCTGATTTTTAAAAAAGTACGCTGCAAGAGTGTGCTTTTGCATTTTTTGGTAAGAGTGTGCTTTTGCATGTTTTGGCTTTTGACGTATGTCCCCTGAATTTTAAGGCTTTTATGTAAAACCTCCGATTATACTGCAAGTTTTTGGAGGACAACCTGCAGGTCACATCCAAATACTTGACAAAGTCAAGTATCGGACGTTTTTTTCTTTGCAGAGATTTGATATGTGACATTTAGTAATAATACATGTTACCAACCCTAGAGTGATTCTAGACATCCTGACATATTATAAGGACACTTCAGTTG